CTCCCAAAACAAGAGGAACCTCCAAGAAGCTTGTGACGACCAAAAGGGAGAATCCACCAGCACAGAGGGACGCAGGAGTCGCTCGGTGCATGTGTCACCTGCGGCAGCCTGCCCGGGGTGACAGTGTTGTCAGCAGGAAAGGGTTACCAGGAGAGGTGGGGCTGCTTGGAAACGGGCCTGGATGCTGCAGAGCTTTTCACCTTTTGCTTCCTTAGCTTTTCTGCAGCTAGGAACAGGCTGCGAGCCCATTCCAATTTCTGTGTTCCGGATAGGACTCCATCAACTTGTTTAACTCAAAGTCCTGGGGTTGTGTGTGTGGTTTTCTTTTTTTTTTTTTTTTTTGGAAGAAAAAAAAGAGAACAGAAAGCAGAGCATGCATCCCCTTGTCATAGACTCACATTTCAATGCTCCAAACCTATTTAATACCTTGGACTTTACCCGATTTTTGACTCATGGGGAAGACTGTTTTCCTGGAACCTATATCCCCGTTTCTTTCCAAAAAAGAAGAACAAAAGATAAGTTTTAACTTGGTGTTGATGCAATATTCACCCCACCCAGAACACTGTAACCAACTTTGAAAGCTCATGTAAAAAACATGAAGAGTAATTTTTACTTAGCTCTTGTTATGAACAATTCAGAGATAAGAAACAAGGCAAGACATGTCTCAGCTGCAAGTGTGAACATGATCTCAACACTGCAACATTTTCCTTGCCTGGCTAGAGATGGGTTGGCAGCATGAGGTATATGAAGGTAGGTTACAGGTGACAAGAATGTAAAAAGCCTATTATTAAACTAGGTGTAAGCAGTCTTGAAACTTCATTAGGGCCAGGGAATTCAGCCCTGGACATTACACCTGCTTGATTATTCACTGGAAATGAACATGAAACAAATGCTGTAAACTTGAAGCTAAGTTGGAGGGGATTCAGATGCAGCTTTCCCTGCCTCCTGACCGGGCAGGGGAAAGACAGCGGTTTGTATCACGGACAGACTTCACATGCCTTCCTCCTGCAGGAGGGAAGTGAAGTCTTCTCCACAAGTTTCCACCGGGTGCAGAGGACAGGTCATTTGCTGTCCTCCAGCTGCCACTCTAGAAGAGGAGTGAACTGCAGAACTGCAGTGTGTTAAAGGTACATTTGAGCACTGACCTATTTTTGTTCATTTGCCATGGGAGAGACATGTGGAAACATTGTGGTTTGATGGGTTTGATTAAAAATATGCTAATGAATAAAGAAAATTAAGTGCATCCCTTGGGCTCCTGGCAAGCTGCCAAGACAGACACTGGGACCACCAACAGGGGGTCCTTATGCTTCAGCTTTTGCAATCCTTCAGATTCCTACTGCGGAGGATGATGATCCAGCGGAAACAGGGCTTAAAAGTTGAATGTTTTGTGTGTCCTGCCTCCACTCCTCGCCAAATGCCACAATATTTGAAAATTTATGCCCCAGGTGCTGGAATCAGCAAGCATAAGAACATCTTTGTTTTCATTGAAAAAAATACTTCTACCATCATTGTTGAAGAAAGAAAGCTTGCAAACATGAAGCAAGTGCACTCAAAAGCCTTGGAAACAAAAAGACTGTGAAAGAGAACTCCAAGTTCATTTTCTAAAGCACCTCATTATTTCTAAACCAAATGTAGTTTTGGAGGCCTGACTTATGGTTTTCAAGCTCCTGAGGCAAAGCTGCAAATTATTCCCACGCAGGAGAAGCTCTGCCTGCTCTCCTCCCTCCATACTTTTTTTTTTTTTTTTGGGGGGGGGGGGGGGGGGGGGGGGAGCAGGGGGGGGGAGGGAGAGAGGGGGTGTTGCATGTGCTGATTACTGTTGTTCTTTCTTCCTTAGGAATATGTATTTAAATTTCCTTACTGCCTTACAGTTCCCACACAATGTTTGCTTGATTGTATATTCTTTCTGCTTTCATTTGGTTTGTCTCTCTAGTGTGAGGTCCTGCAAGGGGGGGGGGGGGGGGCAGGAGGGAAGCACAAATCAAAACAACTTAAAACAGGCACAATGTTACCCTCTGCTCCACAGCTGTTTGCTGCGCTACCGTCATTGCCCAAATGGATTTACTCAAGGTACCACATAAGAAAGGTCTAACCTGGCTGCAGGAATAGGTGCATCACATACTTTTCTACTGTTCCTCAGGTAGGAAGCAGCTCTCATTAGCAAAGTCTGAAGTGCCCAGCTCTCCTCATGCTCATAATCCTCCTGTTGGTAGTTGTTCTTCCAGTAGCCTGATTCACACTCTGTTGCCTTGCAGTCTTCAGAGCTGGGACAGGGTAGCTGGCCGTAGTTCATGAGTGTCTGTCATCCAGTTGAACTACTCAGCGCCGAATTGGAGTACAGTCACCAGAAGTAAAAGGAAAGAAGGACTCGTGTTTAGTTAAGCTGCCTGAACCCAAATAGAACCAGGAATATTTGAAACCCTAGGGGCAAAGATGAACATCCAAGGACAAAAAAAACCAAGCAGACCTAATAAAGAAATGAAAATGGAGACCCCCACAGTGAAAGAGCTTCTTCCACATCCATGACCAGTGCACTAAGTAGAAGAATAGCCACATTTAAAACTAAACACTTAGTCTATCCTGCAGGCATTTTTTCAGCAACCTGGTAGGTTTTGGTTTTTATAGCTCCACGTTCCAAGGAGGAAACAAAGTTTTAAGTTCTGATTTCTGAATCCTGTCATTCTGGGCAAGGATACTTCTGTCAGGGAGATCTGTGTCTGACCCACACCATCTCTCTCAGTGCTTCTAAAACTGAAGAGCCAGACAAGCTTTCAGGGGCAAAACTGCAGGCTCTCTCAGGCAACATTGCCATGATGGTTTTCATTTAAAAGTAAGAAAGAATTTGGCTGTTTTCTAGATAATTACTCCTTTCCCCAGTCCACAGTTGTTTTCCTTGTTTACACGTACAGAAGCGTAACGCCGTCATTTTGTGGGGAGGGTAATCACCTTACAGAGCACTCTTACAGGCCACAGGTTGAGAAACACTCATCCAAACAGCAAGTTCAGTTTGTTGTATGTGTTTTCCCTTTAAAACAAAAACAGAACACTATTAAACAGTAGGGAGTAACTTTCCTTGTCTCTGAATGCTACATGTATGCACAAGTTTGTCCTTGAATTCTGGTATTTGGCCTATGAAGCCAACATGCATAAAGCCTCTGATACCCTGAACACTAGACTTTAAAAACAAACTCTATAAACTCTGATTATATCAAAAACATGATTCTGCCTCAAAGCCAACTAACAAAGCCTATTGAAGGGAACTTACTGTAAACTCTAGAGATTAATCAACTTTATCAGGAAGGCAAGTGCAGAGCATACAGTCCCAGTCTCACCTCAGCATTTTACCTCCAACCCCCTTTGGGGTTATAAGGCTTAAGGGGCCATTTGCTGGTATTTCCCCAGTAGATCCTATTCCCACAAGAGACACTAGAGTAGTTTGGGGGAGGAGAGTCTGAGGAGCAGGGGAAAAAAAAAAGAAAAAAAAGATTTTTAAATAGGATATTCTCTCCTTCCCTCCCCCCAACAAGGCTTTATATTTCAAAGAAAACCCAGCATCTTTAGTCACCCTTAGAAGCAAAATGTTTTGTGAAGTACTGCACAGTCCCCTGGAACAATAACTATTCTCTCTGGCATGCAAATCAGTGCTCAGCCAGCAGAACAAACTTATACTTGCAATGCAAACTGGTTTAATGCCATAGAAATCATAAAGCCACCATCCTCATGAGAAATGGGGTGTTCTGCTGCACGCTGGAATGTTTAGGGAAGAATTAACATCAGCATTTGCATGCAAAAGGAACATTTTAATTTAGAACACGGTCTCCTACTGCATGAGAGAATTGTAGGGCAGAGCAGCGAGAAGAGAAGAACCCAGTTAGCGTGGATTCCTACGTGTAATTCAGGTAGCAGATTAACAGCAGCTACTTGTGTGCTCGACCGAGCTGGCTGAGCAGCCCCTCTCCATGGTAGAGCTTCTGACTCTTGAAGCCACAAGATGGAGCCAAAAGTTCTCAGGAAGAGACTCCTGTAGCCGTCCATGGGATCTCCAGGGCATTTAGCACACAGACCCACACTAGTTGAGGGCTCTGGTTGAGGCAGAACACAGGCCAGTGTGAAGGCAGAAGCCAAGCTATGTACGGGCAATCAATCTCCAATTTCATCCCGCTGCAACCTAAGGAAGCAGTTCCTCACAAGCATCCACAGAATATCTGAAGAAAGAGGTGCTGTTCTGGGTGCAGCTTGTAATACAGCTGTGCTCAGAACCCTCTCCTGCCTCCTGCACAACACTTTTCATGCTACCCTTCCTCTGCTGCAGAATATTTAAAAAAAAAAAAATTACTTCACTGGAAAGGAGAGCTACATAAACCACTGTGGCCATCTGAAATACAGGGCAAACACTGCATAAACAATATGATGTAAATTGCTGTAACCCTTGGCCAGAAGTCATCAGATAGGGGATGTTCTGCTTCCAACTTGCACAGCCGTGGCAGCACAAACTGCACCCAAAGTTTACTGTGAATCCCATTTCTATGCCACTACAAATTAAGTGGGTTAACAGCGCAGTGAGTCTGTCCTGAAGCTGCTCTGCTGCAGTTCCTCCATCACAAACCAACACAGAGGATGGAGTCTGGCACGCTCCAAAGACCAAGGATCAATACTTCCACAAAACATTCCTTATTCTGTTATTTGAGCCACAAGACTGAAGAGGAAAGCAACTCTGTCATTTACACAGTTGATACAAGCTCTTTGATCCGATTAGGTTGTGGAAAATTATCTATGAATGAATCAAACTATTGTACCAGTTCAGTCCTGAGCCGTTTCTGGAAAACCAATGACAGAGTCCTCAGCCACCTCCTCCTCCTCCCTCCCACAGTCTGTAATATTATCACGTTAGAGCTGATACAAAGGTTAGCTCCAGACACTGAAAGTCAGCGGTTGCCTGGTTCAAGAATTTGGGGATTAGACCTGCTTTTAGAATGCTGTAGAAATCAATAACAAACAAATATTATGCCTGTTTTTCTTTTTATTATCAATAGTAATACAAATCAGTTGTATTAGCATGATAATGAAAAGTGACCAGTTTTATAGACATTAAAAATGTTTGTGCAAGTTAGAGACAAAGCTCTGAAGCTATGCAAGGAAAAAAATATGAATTTACATTGTATAGTTTAGCACACATAGTTTAGAAGCAGTTTTATTAAATCTTGCAATCATAATCACTTCCTCTACACTAAACCTCTTTCATGGTGTTAGAGATAACACCTTCCCCTCCCAAGAGGAACACCTGCCATTCCAATGAAGTGTGGAGATTACAGTGAAAATGTTTGCTTTTTTGTTCCTCTTCCCTCCTTCTCCCAACTAAAGTCAACAAGAGGTGAACACTGCAACATATGCTTATAGCAATTAAAGAAAGCTTCTCTCTGCATAAGCTCTGAGTTGAATTAATAAAAAGTATCCTCATTTTGTACAAGAATTGATAGACCTGTCAGCCCCAAATACTGGGTTAACACTTTGGAAAGCTTAAAGATCTTTGTGAATGTTTAGTTAGATGCATTTCCCCCCATCTCTTGCTACATTTCAGACTGTAGCTTTATGCCTCTGACCTAAAGTGTTCTTAAGCACTAATATTAGCCAAACAGGATTCAACTGGAACTTCAGATGGCTATTAATATCTCACTGAAATTTAATGCCCAGTAAACGTATGTATACATCTTTCTCTTCATTGAGCCAATTGCTGGCCCAGAAATTGCAATAAAGGCATATTAGTCTGTATAGAACACATATGGCACAAGTCATTGAAGATGCACTTCATGTTGCATCTATACTCTCTCTCATCTGGAGAGATGCTACTCTAAAGAAAAAAAGGAGTCAAGTCTGCCTTTGCACTCCTGGAGTTTAACCTGCTTTTTTCATATGATGACTTAGCTGCCATTATAATGGGGCCTTGTTTCAGATGTTTGCTCAGAAGACTGGAGCACTTGAATACCCACTGCTAAGCCACATATGTAATATTGCATATAGCAGTAAACAGCTCCCTGACTTTATGTTAAGCTATTATGCAAGAATAGTATTTGAATGCTTAAGTGCAAGTGCATAGTCAAGTCTTGCATGACCTCCAGCTTCAAATATTCAGTTAGTTGCCTACAACCATGCTCTAGAAAGATTTAAGAGCACATTATACTGATGAAGACAAGTCTTGCTCCTTAATTACATAATGTGCGAAGGCTGCTAGAATGTATCAGCTTCAATACAGCCTTCAGTTGCCTCAGCTACACAGCATGGCTAGTGGGCAGCCACACACACCCTCTTGCCAAAGTCCTCCTTGTTTGATGTACCTGATCTGCAAGTAGTCATTTAGATCAGAAGTCAAATCTCCCTTCACTCCCCTCACAGGAAACCCTCACACCCAAAAGAAGCATTTGTCTGTGCCATTTTGTAATCACTCTAGTCAACCCACCTGATGCTGATGTCCAGTGAAGCACACCTGGGAGTCATTCAAGGACCCTCAAATTGTACTGTCCCCCTGCAGAAAGGCATGCATTCAGGCACTTCCACCATGAGGCTGAGGCAACAGGATTCCAAGTCCGGGAAGCAGTTTTATTGCCTTCCCAGTACAAGTCAGAATGCTTGTTGCCCACTGTTACAAAATAAACAAGGCAGCTACCTCAGCTATCATGTGTTCAGCTGTAACTAGAAAGTTAAACTGAAGTTTGCCCCTAGCACAGAAGAGGAATACACAAAAGCTGCTGTATTTAGTCTCCATGCCTCATCTCTCTGGAAAAGGTGACAAGCACAGAGCACTGAAGAAATGCAGCATCAAGCTACAGAACAGCAAGCACCATCTTCCAAGTCCACCTCGGTGGTGGAGCTTTATCAGTTAAAAAAGACAAAATACCCTGAGAACAGCACATGGACTGTAAGAACACCAGTAGCAGACTCACTGTTCCGAGTAGAAATTCATCTGTCCCATCAAATACTGTCAGGTACTTTAAGACTAAAGAGATCAAAGGTCAAAGCATGCAAGTCTCTTGAGCCAATACAGCTGAGCTGCTCCTTGTGAGCTTTCCTGAGTTCATTATTCATATAGCAAGGAAAGCTTATTCAGTTTTGTTAGACACATTTTACAATCCGCCTCAGAGGGGCTTGACCTACATAAGCTTGTAATGTGAACTCAACTGTTGTTTATCCTTTAGGTTAATTAAGGACTTAACCTTTAGGTCTCAACTAAAACCAAACCTAAATGAGTTGTCTTCCTCCAGAAGCATTCGTTTGCTGTATACACAATGTGCACTCAAAAATGGATTTTTTCCATGGAAGCTCAAAAGGAAACTTTGTTAGCAAAGTGCTACAGCTCCAAGTGTCCCATTAGGTGCTTAAGCTACAGACACAGGTGACACAGCTCAAACAATACGTTCTATAAGCCACCAGGATCCCAGGCTCTGCTTCAAAACTGTATCGTCAAGCTGGCTTTGTAATACCAATTAATTACACTGTTCAAAGATAAATATTTCCAGAATTGGTTAACCATTCTTTCTGCACATATAAGATAGCATTTACAAAGGAATTTAACTTGACAAGAATTAAGATTACAGCACCTTTTATTTAGTACAGTTTCCCCAATCCAATGAGTTGCCTGATAAGTTGAACTAGTTATGGAAGACAATGAGTTTGCGTTAAGTCCCTGTGAAACCTCAGACCAACAGAGGTTCTGATATCTAACATATCTTACTTTTTTCAAAGTTCAGAAGTGGAATGCACAAGAGCAATCTAGTACATGTTAAAAATGTTCTTCAGTCTCAAATTACCATACTAAATACTAAATGGTATTCACTACTCCTTCACCTCAAAAAGGAACAGTATTTGTTAATTTAGTGCTGCAGTGTGCTTCATCGAACAGCCACATTGCATATTCCTTTCACCAAGTAACTGTGTTTTAAGCATCCAGTTAGCAGGCAAGATACAGTCACTACTTCAAGTTCTCTCTACTCCTTCAAAACAGAAGACAGCCATAACTCATTAAGAGACTCCACAATCAGAAGATACAGTTACTTTCCACAACAGTGACAGAAGTATTTTTTGGCAACTGCACTTAAACTGCCTCAGAAAGCTTGGTTCAGTCAGCTGACAAGAGGGCCTACATACTGATTTCTCTTCCATTTTTTGTTGATCAAAAATTGTGACCACCACCGTTTAATTGACAGCAAAACTCAACATGTGTCTCCATGTGCTAGGTTGCTGTGCATCAGCAAGTACATATAAAATTGAGTAACAAGACATGGCAACTGCTTAACTTCATTTGCTTTTCGACACCATACAAATCACTAGCCAACTAATCACCGAGAGGTAGCACATATGCCTCACCTATTCCAAGTCATGATTGTGAGATGTGACCCATCCTTACTCAGAGTTTTCATCTTTAGCAAGACAAGAGACAGATGCAGATGTTCCTGCATTTCCAACATGATCACAAATGTTCCAATATAAACAAAACCAATGAAATCAACACTTTGATTTTCACTATACCAGTACCAGGGAGGGGAAGGATGATGGATGTAGAGTGAGTGTAATTGAGTCTAGCCACAATACATGGAAGAAACCCTGGACAGCATTTCAAGGAGATGGTGATAATATTATTCCTTTTGAAGAAAGGATTATAGTCATTTTCTCAACCCATATCATTAATTTAAGGATGAGAAAACAGAGCCATGGGGAATGCACCTAGCCAGTATTTAAATATCAATTTTTGCATTGCCTAAATAAATCTGAATTGAGTCCATAGGCTTGATTCATGAATGCTGTATTGACTTAACATAACATGGAAGAAAGTTTTTTTTGAGTTGACTCTCAAGTGTCAGTTGTTATTTCTTACATGGAGTGTGGGGAGGAAGCCAGCAGATTTCAGTGTAAGAAATACCAGTGACAACTAACAGAGAATGGAGACTCAAACCCTTTAACAGCTGTCATGTAACTTTTCTGCAGTTTGCAACATCAAGGAGGGCAGCAACAGTGGGGAGAAAAAAACCAAAGTGTTTGAACCTGAACAGCTGTGCTTGTTAAGGCCAGTAGAGGTTCAAGAGAAACATTAGAGTAAACTAGGAAGTTAATACAAAAGTACTATTGTATAACCAAGCAGGAGGATCGTAGTTCTGAAAGACACTAGGAAGTCGGAGCCCGTTTCAGTTTAAGTAGGCATAGGTTTTGTTGGATACCAGAAATGGTTTCAAAGTTCTGTTTTCACATTTTGAAGGTGTGATATGCAAAGCAAAAGATAAGGGAGTCAATACAGACTTCCTTTCATGAATCCAGCCCTATATCCTTAGTGGTATTTTATCCATGCCACCTGTAGATAGATATTTACAGTTCCCAAGCATCACAGTAAGCAACATCGTTCTTTAAAGCTTTTCTTGTTCTTGCCACTTTTCTTGCCATTCTTGTCTTTGTTTTCTGACATTTTCTTTGCTCTGATTTCTCTCATTAAATCAAAGAATACCTAGGAAAGAAAAATTAAAAAAAAGAAGATTAAGTAAGGTCTGCCACCAGAAAGCAGATAAAAACTACCGTATTCAGCAGCAAATAAAGATGTAGCACCATAATTTGCCTAATACAACAGAAATAAGTCCAGACAGATCCCAGTGACAAACACAGTACCAGAACTATGTAGCATGTCAAACAGTGGCAAGAAGTAGGACAATCTTACCTGGCTACCAGTTCATTCAACAGCCCTGTTTTAAGAGCTTTTTATTGAGTATCAGTCTTGCACAAAAGTAGCATTCAGAATTCATGAGAACAATTGTCTGTGCCTAGCAAACATTTCCAGGCAAATCATTCTTTTAACTATGCAAAGCATTCAGTCCAGTCCTTTTCATGTAGTTACAAGCACACTCTGCTGAGTAGTGTTCTGCCTGTTTTATAATGAAAAAGCTGCAGCGTACAAGCAACAGCATCACACACAGAAAATCCCCCAACTATGTTACAAAAAAAATCAGAAAAGGTCATTATTCTGATGTTTTCTCCAAAATTTTAGCTGCTTTCAACTCTGTATACCTGATGTCTAAGTACATGCCACTTAAGATGCAACAGCTGTTTTACTGTAGAGAGTTATATGGAAAAATGATTTTTAGGATTACAGGACAAGAGCTTATTGTCACTGTATAGAGTCCAGCTTTTTTAATAAGGAACTACACAGATCTGATACTTGGAAACAAGACCACACTACTGATCAGAAATAGAATAGTTTGTCATTCAAAACCATCTTAAGGCTTTTTTTATTCTGCTACAGTTTCAATGCACAATCATCACAATGGCTGATAACTTTTCTTAACATGTTCATTATCCTCTGTGTAAGTACTGTTTTGTATATGTCACACAAGCTAGAGTAGACCCAAGAGCTGGTCTAGAACACCATGCTAGCATACTCCAGACACATTGCTGTTAATCCCAACTGATCAGAAAGCTAGTCTAAGCATAAAACAGGCTAAGCATTTTTTAGTCACATGAGACAGCTCATAGGCAAAAGCACGTCTAGTTATTCATGTTTTACTACATCACCCACTTTATACATCTGACAGTCTGACTCCCTATAACATTCCACAAATTAGAATAGTTCTTTATCGAGTTTAAATTATGCTATGTCCTTGATAACCAAAACAAGTCAAGAGTTTAATATCCACCATTTTAACAAAGAATGACAGAAACAGTGTTCATACTTATGCACCAACAGCATTTCCATCAGAAAATTAACAGACTAGAACAGGAAGCTGTCTGCAAAAACCTGAGAGTACAGCTAGCTGCAAGTGTTCTCTGTCAATAACCAGTAACATTGATTACCATTTGTAACCATTAAACAAATGCAGATTACCAAACCACAGCCACACCCTTGGAGTCCTTAGGGAGCCCAACAGTAATTTCAGATCATCTTCAGTGGATTCATGAAGTAAAGGGGCATCCTCTTCTTCAAGAAACCCCAGTACACATAGAATGAAGGGAAGGCTTGGAACTTATTTTTCCCTACTGGGCAAACACTCCATAGTCATAACTCATCTCTCTTCTGGAATAATGTACCATCACCACTGTTTATGCAGGAAGCCAGCAGCAGAAACATGCTGAGAATGACAAGTCCTAGACCAGCATGGAAAAGTCAAAACAGGGACAGGGATACAGCAAGAAGATTTGTGTTCTTCTCACAATTCAAAATAGTGTTGGCAGAAAACAAGAATGAAATCTTTAACATTAGCCACATCATACGTAGCTTTGTAGGGAAGGTAGAACAATTTATCAGTGTCTATAAGCTTGCTATTTATTGCTGTTACAGTAATAGGACACAGCCTATAAACAAAACAACATATTTCAGGGAATCCTTAAACCCATTTACCCAGTGTACTATTGGAAAGGTACTGGTTCGGGTACAAACAGTTAAAACAAGACAATAGCATTAAATTGTACTAGGTATCTGGCTCCTTCAAGCTAGGTTTTTGCTTAAGTGTACATATTCTGCTAGGTTCATTCATTTTGACTATCTAGGCTTTCAGAGGACCAACTGTTGATTTGTTTTTGTCCTAGCAAGAGTCAAGAATTAGTCACTTGGTTATTAAACAAGTAGCAAGGATCTAACTGAGCAGATGTCATTTGTCTTACCTTATCTACATTCGCTCTAGTTTTGGCAGAAGTTTCTACATACTGCACACCCCACTCTTCTGCCTTACTTCTTGCCTCTTCTACAGGCACTTGTCTGCGCTCTTCCAAGTCAGATTTGTTTCCCACTACCAGTAAAGGGATTTTATCCTCTTCAGCCTTCACACGCAGGATCTGTTCCCTAATGCATCAGGTATTCAAAGTAAAAATATCTGTGTTAGTAGTAGCAACAAAAATTCCTCCCTTATCAGGAGTAGATCAAGTGTAACTAGTGTTTACAACAGTACTTAACAGGTCATTTCCCAACAGTTGAACACACACTTTAAAGTTATTTCAAATTTAACACACTGATGCTATAGGCTTTACACAAATAAAAGCCTCACACTTCCAAGGCAGCAGTTCCACAGTTTAGTTAGTAAGTTTACTAACCAGGCTCTAATAAAAAGCTGTATGGCAGAAGAGCAACTCACAGCTGGAGTTCACATATGAACATGGAAAAGAGTACAGGAGCCACATTTGCCAAGTTTCATCTTGGCATTCAGTCACAGTCTTCAATTTCCAGTTTACATTCCACCTCAATATAGGTCTGGGCAACATCAAGGCTTTGCCAAAACAGGAGGTTGGGAAAAGCTTAAGTAGCTGGCAGACATTCTTAACGGCTACCTAAACTTTACACAAAGGAAAGAGTTACTAAACACTGCTGAGCTAGAGTGCTAGCAGCCTTCCTTCTTCAAAGACTTCAAGAAAATATTTGAACCTTCAGCATTAACCTAGCTGTCCTCTGGCATTCTAAGGACCTATCAGCATCCAGGCAGAGACATGCTGCATGTCAGTCCCAAAGTGTGCTATTATTAGCGTAAAACACAGGTTGAAACCGGACTGACACATGCTGCTGTCCATCTAGGATGCCGACAGAACTGTACCAGTCTACAGTTATTTTTAGATTGCTTCATTTTGTCATGAACAAGAGCCAAACTAGATATGGGCAGGGTGCTACACCCCCTCATGCCACTGAGTTACCACACTGCTTCAGATGCCTGCACTCTCCATCCACAAAATAACTGAATGTATGTAGAGTACACAAGAATCTAAAGTAGTGTTAACACCAAAGCAGACGATCTGCTGTTGCATTCAACTGTACCTTCACACATTTTCAGATTACAGAGGCACCAAAAGCAAACACTGAATGCATAGCATCAGCAGGAGAGCTAGGTTTTAAAGACAAGTCCATAGTTCATTCAGTATTCAACTTTCTCATAGCTTGACAGTTCTGGAAGTTAGAGGATCAATACCAATGTGCAGTTCAGCCTGCGATGCTGGTGACTCATTATACACATTTCCCCTCCCCTTCCTGGGGAACAACTTTCCAAGGAGCTGGTTCTTCCATATCAGCTAAACTAAATATTCCAGTTAAGTAATTCTACTATTTGTTTACTTGTGAATCATCAAAAAGTAGAAGATTCTCCATCTCAAAGTGTTTAGGTCCTTCCAGGGCTAGCACTGCTTTTTCATTGTTTTGTTGTGCTGGAATCTTGAACCAACACACAGTTAACCTAAATACAGAAGTCTGACAAAAAACAAACTGACAAGATAAACACCCCTACTCCTTTTTATCCAAAGCCTTAACTGAAATATAAGGTTAAACCCAAGGCTTAAGCATACATGTCAAAACCCAGGCTGGGTACTTTCAAGTATCTCATTTTCTTCCTATTTCTTGAAGAATATACAACTTTTTCCTTCATTTTATACTAGGAACAGTCCGAGTACTGAGTTTTGCAGTCCTACAACAGTTCAGCTGTTTAACTCCTTTAAGTGCTCCAGTCAGAGCAAACTGAGCAGAACAGCTCTGCTTGCGTGCCCCACAACTGTCAGCCTTCTGAAGTCCAGCAAAGTCACAGAAGTATTAGGTGACAAAGGAACAATAATTTCATACCTTTTAAAAGATGATGCAGTAACCTACTACTGTTGGAACAGTATAATACAGTGAGAACTCAGATCAATGTCCTAGAGTGAGGGCAGTTTGCCATAAGGAGCTTTCAGAAAACCCTAGAAATAGGTGTCTACCTTAGCCCCAGCATTTACATTACTGATGAGTCTGTTAACCTTACACCACTGAAGCAAAGTGAACATAAGCCAGACTGATAGAAAGCTTTTATTCTGGCAAACATAAGAAACCCCTAACGCTTTCCCTATGTTTTGGCAAGTTTTACTTCAAGTTGTACAGCTGTCCTAGGGAGTCTCTGGATTACCTTCAACACTGAGGCAACAGCTATTATATAATAAGAGTTAGAGCACTTGCCCTGAAGAACCTGGTTACGTGAGTTCCAAGGCCAGAACAATGGTTTGAACTCCTTGTTTTTCTTTTATGCTACACAGGCAGTTTCTATGCTCAGCCTGGTCCTGATTTTTACATTAGAACTGCTAATCCCAAGAACAAAAATGGAAACATTTATTACTACTGTGAGTCTTTCTAGGAATACGTCTGTCTACAATAGTACTGCTTGGCTGCCAACCCTTGTTTGGCACCAATCCATACCTGAGAGTAGAGGCTAATCCTTCCTTTCCTAAGAGCACCTGCTTCTAGCAGTAAGCAATACAGCATCTGAAACCTGGCCAAAAGGCAGACTTAATTCCAGAAGTACTGCTTTAAGATAATTAAACTTCACATCCACAAAGACTGGAAATTGGCTTGAACACACATGTTTTAAGAGTCCAAGAATCTGTTACTTGCCTGAAGTTGCTGCTGGCGTAATGTACTCATAAGTCGAAGGCATGAAGACAACTAGAGCCAGAGGCTGGATGATGTAGTTTAAGTTACTAGTTACTGGGAGCAAAATGTTTGGGTTGCCACTTTTATTGACCAACCGGTAATGGACAATGAGTAAAGAGCTGTAGCTTTTAAGAAGAGTTGTCAGAGCAACACAGCAAACATATTTCCCCTGCCTGTGAGAGAAACTACTTACCGAAACTCTGCTGTTGCTGTAAAGGATTCATGCTCTGTTATTGAGAAGACTAGAAGAAACCCTTCCCCACTGCGGAAATAGTTGTCTCTGATAGCTGCGTAATCCTCCTGTCCTGCTGTGTCCAGAATGTCTATCTGAACTTCTTCACCATCCAGAACCACTTTTTTTCTGTAGCTGTCAGCCTTGGTAGGTTCATAGTCTTCTACAAACTGAAGAAGATAAGGGATTATTGTTTAGAATTACTGTCAAATGGTATCAGTATTTGTCCACATCCATGCTCTTTCACTTCAGTGACATTTAAAGTCCCCAAAACCATATCACAAGTCAGTCAACCACTAAGTTCCACCACTTTTTTTAGTTTTACTATAAACAGCAAATTATTTAAGCACTTAATACATCAAAGAGCCACTCTGCCTAGTCAAGAGAAATTGTCTTGCTACCTGGAACACTGTAGCAGTGTAGCAGCACAATTTAATGGACAAAGATACACATGAGATACCATCAACCTGGTGGCATTAACTAGATCTCCCACTTCACAAAAAAAGTACTTCAGTGTACTTCAGGTAGAGCTGTCTGAAGCTTCAACAGGTATAGTTGTCAGCATCCAGCTGTTGAACATGAAAACCTGCTCAATAATTACAGAGGCACATACTTTAATTCATTCAATATTGACCAGACCCACAAAGCCACTGCCAGTTCAACTTTTAGTTCTGTGCTGACAGCACACGTCCAACACAAGCTCCTTACCTTTCCAAACCCTTTCTCTCCGCCTCAAAGTACAACAAAAGGCTGTGCCATGAGCCTGATTAAGCTAACTGGCCTTCACTAATGACTATGCCACCTCTTCAGATATTCACATCCTTATAGTATGTCAGAACAACCTACAGATAAACGCAAACTTCTGAATTACAGGGTCATATATTCCTTCTCATACTCATCCGGATTGTCTGATCTAGCTTCCTGTACACCAGTACAGAAGAATTCATGCTATGAACATGCCTGCTTCATCATTCAGCTCAGAATGAGCTACAATGCTTACTTCTGACTTCAACCTTAACTGGCCTAAAAAACTGCAACAGAATTAAAGTTCAATGCCAATAGGTAACAGCCTCTGCATACTCAAACAAGCACATTCACTTTCTGCGTGCCTTCAGACAACTGTTCTTTCACTAATAAGCATCAATTTTGTCACCCTTAGCCAAAGATGTTCCCAGAGGGCACCCTTCCCAGATTCCTACATTCTTCTCCTGACAGTCAGGTCATCAGATCTTTCGCAACTTATATTTACCTCCCCCCATCCCACTAAAAAAGTTTAGTAAAATGTGTCCATTGGTGCTTTAGAGAAGCTGAACCAGAGCTACTTACCTCATCATACATAAACTGAAGAGTGAGAGCAGATTTGCCCACACCTCCACTGCCAACCATAATTACTTTATGGAGGGCCAAGGAACTCTGGTTCTTGCTCTTGCTAGCAGCCATTGTCCTGCTTGCCACCGATGAAGTGCCAGGCAACCAATTAGATCTGCAGACAGAAGAAACACAGTCACCATCCATGACACCATGGTAGAGTGCAGGTAAAAGCATCTTAACAGCACTGAAAGACCAGATTAAAACCCTACCCAGCAAGCCTGAAGAAGGGGCCATTTCAATGCACTGCCAAGCAAACCATGCCACTGATGTCTAAAGCATGAGTCGGAACAAGGTATTAGAACAAATAGAAGGTATTTATGACAACAGTACCATTAATAAAAGCATCAAAGGTTTGTCAAACCAGCTACTAGCTGAACAAGCTATTCTTATTTGTAAACTCATCCTACATGACTGCTATCTAGAGCAGTCTCCAAAGAAAAAAATACCCCACTTTCTCAAACACCATGAAATTAAGTGGTTTTTATCCTTGTTATAAGGCTTTACACTTTTCTAAAATACTTCTTTAATGTTGATGAAGCTTAGTTACAACCTGGAAAAAGAGCTATACCTTAGATCTGCTTATAGGTATAAAGATGACTTTTGATCTCCTCTCTATGTAGGCTAAGAAAAAAAGCAGAGATACACAGTAAATTCTGGCAGGAACAAGTTGCAAAAGCTTCCAGCAGAAAGTCTTATGACATGGCATTAGCATTTATTTTATATTCTTCTTGCCTTTTGATGCTGCAAATCAAATTTGCTTTTGGAAAAAAAAAATAAACCCTGTTTTACTGCAAGAAATTCTTAGTTTCTGTTCTTCTCCTGATGCTGCAGTGCCATAAAAGAGTAAGCTTCAACAAACAAGTACTAGTTAACAACCCTTTATTTGTGTGTTATGCCTATTAAGTAATTAAGTGCTGGAGAACTCTGGAAAATAATACTGCTTTTTTAAGAGTAGCTGAACACAGTATCTGTGACAGAAACACAAGCATCAGCTGCCACACCCCGACTAGCACAGAACAGCAGGTCTAAGAACAGCACATTGGGGACAAATGCAGAAGTGACCAATACAAAGAGATGTGTCACCTGTCACAGCGAGAAAAAACAACACACCAGAGATGAGTACTCCAAACGCACGATGGCTGAAGGGAGACACTATGATAGCAACACATGTGTCCCCACAGGAGGACAACTAAGGGCCTCAGGTGTCCATATCCTGGCAGAGTGCTGTAAGGGGAACAGCAGACCACCCAGGGAACACTGCTATGGAAAGTGGCTATACCAGCCTTGATTTATAGCAGTACCCATTATTCCAGAAGCAACAGGCCAACCAGGAGTCTCAAATTTGCCTGGGCACGATTACTCCAGAAAGACACTGGAACTGCCACACCACACCAAGTTCTACTGGATGGAAATATAACTTCTCCTATAGGTCTTTCAGAGTACTGTATTGGAAAAACTTCAGGATAATTTTGTTTAGGGCAGCTAGTTAACTAGGGACTAAGGGATTGTCAACCTACAAACACACTACCGGATTATTTAGCCTGGAAAGGACCTTTGGATGTTGTCCAGTCCAAACCTCTCCCTTAAACTGGATTGCTTGGAGCAAACTGCTTTATGTGCCCTGTATTTTGAGGTTGACAATTCCATGACCAGTCTGGGCAACATGCCCTGGGAGACAATGATTGTGAAGATCTTTTCCCCTCCATCATGACTTGATGTTCTGAAAAGCACCAAATCAAACTAAGTTTTCATTGACTACTGCATACAAGAACAAACATACCAACAATCAAGAAGTGCCCTCAGGACATTTTCAAACATATGAGCAGTAGTATTTTGCCATGCAGACTATTTCACTCACACCTGTTTGCTACACACATTTGGTACAGTAATGCATATTAATAATCTTTAAGTACTCATTCTGGGATAAACACTGGTAAGACAGATTTTCCTCTGGTCATCTATATTATGCTATACATCAGCTCCCTCATCCAGGACATCCCTTAGTACAGAAATGGCATGTGACAATATCTACTTCTAAGATTCTCCCTGTAAAGCACAAACAGATATTTGTGTTGGTGACAGTTAATTCAGCCATCACCCCAGAGATTACAAACCAGAAGAGGACTGCAAGCTTGATTTTTAGTTCTTAATCACTAGAGAGGCAAGAGGGGAAGAGAACAGAGCTCCCTGACAGGGAAGTGTGGAAAAATTGGGAGAAGACATAACAGGTAGCATCTGAACTCCAGAAATTGCTGCTGAAAGGCTTTCTTTGCTTATGGTCCACATGTTCTACAGATGATAAACTAGAACTCACATTGCTTCAACATAGACACCCAAGGTGTAAGAGCTACAGATTTACTAGACAATGAGTTGATTTGGGGACTTCAAGTGTTAAGAATACAGGTTGCTCTTAAGTTGTAGAGAAGTTTATTTTGTCCTAGTTCAAGAGCAGTCTGGCTTTGAAACTAGCAGACAAGCTGCTTCCTGAAGAAGCCAAGAGACCCTTAGCAACTTTTCAGTTTAACTGTGGCTGCTTTCAACCTTTGAGTATTCCTCTAGCCAGCATCCTAATGCTGTTGTAACTGCTGTTATCTAACATAAAGCTTTCAAGCTAAACATTTTCCTGGCAGCACAAACTTAGTGCTGCTGCAAGCCCAGTGTGCTATGCAACTACAATAAAGAGGGAAAAAAAAAAAAAAAAAGATTTACTAACAGCCAAGAGAGAAAATAGCAACACTCTCCCTCCTATCAATAGGGACATCACATCTTTACCTGATCACAATAAAGGAATAGCTGCCTTTTAGGTAAAATACTGACCAACTTGATTCAGTACAAGCTTGTAACAGAGTTAAGTGGAGAGAATACATAAATTCTTCCTTCTCCATCCCACCTCAACACTGGCCAGTAGAAACTGCAAGTTCAACCCTCATACACAGTAGTACCTGACTTACAACCAGAGTATAATATTAAACAAGCCCCATGCGATAGGATACAAATTTACGGTTTTATTACATCTAAAAGCTAGCCCAGCTCTTCATGTCCAAGGTACTTGACTTCCCCTGCAGAGCTGTTACAAGTGCCACTTGAATCTTTTAGAGTATCAACACTACATGAACCCTCTGAATGTGGGAGTCTGCTGACAACACAACCCCTATGTTGTATGCCCTCTGTGAAATCCCAGATGCTTCACACAAGGCATCTCTTCTTTGGTGGCAACAGAGGGAGCGTGGCCCCCTCCAGCCCCAGAGCAGCCAGGCAGTACACAACAAGGCAAGGCTGAAACAGTGTGGCACAGGATTGACACGGGCAGCGTCAGTGCAGAAGTACCAGTGTTTACAAGACAATAGGCTAATAGCACATCACTGGTTCAGAAAGGGGCACAGCGAGATTTTAATAGGAATCCTCTAATAAAACAAGAGACATAATTGGAGCCAACTGTTTGTTTACTTGCATTTCCACCTCTGCAGCCCAAGAAAGTTTACACACCATGGTTCAAAGCTCACATCTAACAGTTCCTTGAGGTTAAAAAAAAAAATCCTAATACAAATGGAAGCTCTCTCCTCAGTCATCTAAGTAGACAAGGAGGAATTTTCATGCCATTCTGTAGATTAGGCATCCTTGACGCAGACAAGACACTCATCTGTTTCTTACAGAAAAGCATATATTGGGAAAATCCAACCACATCTCAAGAAAAGTAGCAGTCTCTTCACTTTAAGGGAGTGTAAACTTAAGGCCAAGAGTCTTAATACATCTGCTGAAGAGCCAGTGCTGAATAAGTGTCCAGACAAGTCACTTAATTCCGTGATAAGTGTTTTCTCCTCTCCCACATTACTCTTTACTTGCTGGAGAATAAACTGTGCCCAAACAAAAAGATTTACCCTCCTCTGGCGGGAAAAGAAGTGATCCAGTCAATGCCAGTCAATTAATCTGTTTAATTTCAATCTGTCATTTTACCCTCAGGCTCAATGACACCACATTGCACTTGGTGTGCTAAGTGTCATAAACTGTAAAAAACCCTTCTGAAAGATTTTTTTTTTTTTTTGGCAGGGTGGGAGGTTCTTCTGGCTGTAGTTCACCCTGCTTTGAAATAAAGTGCTAGACAGAGCCCAGGTCAGAGTATCAACTTTTACAGGCAGTCTTTCATCTTTAAGAAATTAGAAGTAATTACCTGCTTCATCTGCTTTAAAAGATAAGGATTAAGTCATTGACTTGGTAACTCTGAATTTTTTTTTTATAATAGGTTATACAAAGCCACATGCACAATAGGAGCATTGTGGTACTAGTGAAAGATGGTCTTAGACCAAGAAATGAAGGTTACACCAACAAACAGGCTGGCCACATGAAGAACAGCAAGATCTACAAATCAAACCATAGTGGTTACTAAAAAGCTGTTTTTATTTAGACTTCTGAAGATCTGTATTTTTATCTGTATAAATCAAACCATGCCACCCTCAGTATAAAAAAAATCTAACCCTAAACTCACCGACTATTTCAGCCTTCCCTTGCCTCATCTGTTTAGATTATAACTTCTCAGGGTTAACTAAGGCCTCCTGCTGTAGAGAAACCTGCATGATGTTGTGTCATTCTTGGCTGGTCCCCCAAAACTGAGCACTTCAAGGCATTTGTTTATAAACAGCTTCATGAACTCCAAACTTAAGCATCAGTTTGCTATTTCTCCACCCTCAGCCTAAAATTAAACTGTTCAGAACACTGTTAACAAACAGGATCGGTTTACCTAATGCCATGATTCAGAGACTATTACTGAATAACTACATATATTTCAATCCAGATTGCACTTTTACGTCCCTTTCTACTTCACCTGCATTAAGACTCCACAGTTGTTCAGTCACTTAAAGGAAAAAGCACTTGTCACTTCACAAGAAAGGAACTCATTTTGCTACAACCCACACAAATACATAGGAAAAAAAGTTAACATGAAAAACTTCACTAAGTCCAGTGAAACTTTTACTGTTTTCCAGTAAAAATTCTGTTATTACAATTAACAAAAAACCTCTAGACCCCTCCAAAGGCTTAAATTGGAAATGTTTCTAGTTCTTCCAATTCAGTTTGAGATGTAAAATGAAAATAAAGCTCAAAATTGCTGAGATCAGC